TCAACAGGAGCCTGTTTCTTATTGCTTTTTTTTTTTTACTTCTTTGAGGAGACAGGTGGAGCTTGCTGAAACATTTGTGTTCCATCCTGTCAGTGCCATAGCCATTCAGCAGCTGTCAAATGAACCAGTGTGTTAGAGAGGTGTATACTTCATGTACCTGACATTATTTCCGGAGACCAAAGGCCCCAACAATTAAATAGTGCTTAGACACAATGTAAACTCTTGCTATCCCCACTACGCAGGAACATTTCTAACCAAAGCAATTCAACACAGCCCACACTGAGGCGAGTTCACAGTGCAAGGGTGGAGGGCCCATCACTGGTCCTTATCTAGGGCCAGTGTCAGAGATTTCTTGGTAGAGAGCTTCTGCCCGCTGTGCAGGAGCAGCCCCAACTTGGGGTGCTGAGATGCTGCTGCGGGCGCTCACCAACAGCTTTCCTCAGGAAATCTAGGCTCTAGAGGACCAAGAATAAGGGTTCCTCTGTTCTCCAAGTCTCCCATGTCGCTCCTAGATAGAAATAACCCTCTTGTTGTGCTGACCAAAAGTTGAAATTGTGGTGAGCTGGGGATACCTCGTTCAGTGGTAGGGCATGGCTTAGTATATGTTTGACCCTGGGTTCAATCCTTAGCACTAGATGAAGAGGATAATAATTTTGGTAATACAGATGTGTATAAAAGGTCCGTGACTTTTTTTGGGGGGGGACGGGTCCAGTCGTGGGGCCTGAACTCTGGGCCTGGGTGCTGTACCTCAGCAGTTCAGCTCAAGGCTAGCACTCTACCACTTGAGCCACAGCACCACTTCCGGCTTTTTTCTTTTTGCTTATGTGGTGCTGAGGAGTTGAACCCAGGGCCTCAGGCATGCAAGGCAAGCGCTCTACCACTGAGCCACCTTCCCAGCTCAGGTCCGTGACTCTTATCTCCAGTAAACCACCAGAAAATCAGAAGGGGTACCGTGGCTTAAGTGGTAGACCAATAGCCTTGAGCTAAAGAGCTGAGGGACAGTGCCCAGGCCCAGAATTCAAGCCCCACGAATGACAAAAAAAAAAAAAAACAGACATTCCTATAACCCTGTCTGTCCCAACTGCTCTAATTCAAGGGCTTCTCAAAGGTGCATGTATAAACCCTCAGACTTCTGAGTGCCCATCTCAAATTAGGCCCACTAGTCCAGAGCTGGGCAAATAGCTGGTTCTTCTCACCAGGAAGCAGAGCCACACAGAGTAGAGGATAAGAAACCCATTCAGGGGACTGGGAATGTGGCTTAGTGGTACAGTGCTCGTCTCGCATGCGCGAAGCCCTGGGTTCAATTCCTCAGTTTCACATACACAAAAATACAGAAGTGGATCTATGGTAGAGCGCTAGCCTTGAGCAAAAGTAGCTCAAGGACAGTGCAAAAGCAGTTCAAGGACAGTGCCTAGGCTCTGAGACCAAGGCACAGGACTGAGGGGGAGGAAAAAAAAACCCATTCAGGCTGCTCCAATCAGGAGACTGAGGCAGGATTGTGAGGTGAGGTTAGTTGGGGTCAAATAGCAAGATGCTGTCACACCAGACAAAAAACAAAAACAACAACAAAAAACCTTAATTTAGGGATTCATGAGCTCTCAATGAGAACTCTTTAGTCTCAGAAAAAAGAACTGAAGGGTAAATTTCAATAGAGTTGTTGAGGCATATTGGTGAGGCTGAAAAAACTCTAATTCCCATCACTTCCTCTCTCATCATCTAGAAAAGTTTTCTCCCTCAGGTTTTTAAAGCAACTGCTTTAAATTTTATCAACATATTGCCCAGTCCACCATGACTCGCCACCTGCCAGAGAATGGAGCCCATGAACAATCTCTCCTTTATTCCTCCCTTCTTCTCCGCCCTCCCATCCCTCCTCTCTCCCTTTTTCCCTTTTGTTTCAAAATATTTGTAATTGAAAAAAAAAATGTTCTTGAGAGACAAGGCCTCACTCAGGATGGCCTAAATCTGCAACCCCTGCCTCAGACTCTTGAGTGACAACTTGGTTTTCCAATCTTGGACCCTCCCACGAGCGCTGGACCTTCATGTGGGTGCCAGTTTTTGGACACATCCCCTGTCCCCAGCCTTCCAGGGTGACACGGGGACACTGGAAACTCCAAGCCTTGAAAGGGTCCAGGAAGGTGGCTAGGGAAACGGGTCAGGCAGATTGCCAGACTAGGCGTGCAGGCCAAGGGGTGCATTCTCTATGGGCCTGATCTGGCAGGCTTGAGACTTCTAGGAGAAATCAAAGATCTGAAATTACACTAAAGTTTAATTTTTAAAAAAATGTTGGCAGCTCATTCACACTTGGACATAGACAGGGCAGTAAGAAGGATGTGTGAAGGGAAGGAGGGTTTTCTATCTTGTTGGCCGGAGCAGGCTCTCCAGCACAGGGTTGAAGGGCTCTCAGCTTCGGCTCCCATTCCTTACCCTTCCCGCGGCGAGCACGTGACAAATGTTGCGTTTATTCACGTGCAGGCTTGTCTCTGTGGTGGGAAATGTGCGGTCTCACCTCCGCAGAAGCCCCTGGAACCTAACTCCAGAGGATGGGTGGTGGCATTCCCTTGTAACTTGCTCCCTCGGGCTGGTGAGGGCGACCAGCCCTGTGGTGCTCATGCCCCTCCCTGAGGTACTGGCTTCTGCTCTGCTCACCCTCAGCTGCAGGGGCACAGGCAGAAGTCCCAGGACCTTTGCTATGTGTTGCATGCTGCTATGACACCTTCACCCCCCCCCCCCCCAGGCAGCCAGCCCCAGAAGGAGTTTCATTTGCCCATTCCTGGCCCGTGGCACATACAAACAAGCTCTCTAAACCATCTGGTGCACCATGGAGCCGATGCACAGGTGCTTCTCCTTAGCTACCTGCAACTGTCATTTTGAATGGCCTGACATGATGCAAAACAAACAAAAAAAAACATTCAACACACCTGCATGGCTTAGCTTGATGAGCACGAGGTCCACTAGAGAACCCTGGGGAGCCCAGCTGGAAACGGGTCTTGCTAGAGGTAGTGCAAAAGGGGTGGGCAGCAAGGTCCCTCCTGTCTACACTGGGGCCACCCCCACCCCCCACACTCAGAGAAATGGTCCTCACCGGGGGTCACTCGGAGGCTACCCTGATGATGACCCAGTGTGGGCAGAGGAGCTAAAACCCCAGCAGATGCTTCGATAAAGGTAGGCCTCCAAGACGGGAAGACCTGGCTTACCTTAAAAGATAGCTTATGAAAGCCGAGAGGGTGCAAGCCTAAAAGAAAAAGCCTTTGACAAGCTGTTAAAATAAGATGCATTTTATTTTCTAATAAAATAAATGTGGTGTAGGTGAGAGTTACACACAGCACAGCCTGGCCCTGGGACCTGAGCCTGGGGCCTACCAGGGCCTGGCAGCAGCCTCAGTGGGGGTGAGGGGGTGGGAGGGGAAGGGGAAGGGAGGAAGGGGAGGGGGATGTTCCTCTGCCCAGGAAGTCACTGTGGTCACCCCGCACAATGGGGCCCGCACTACAACTGGGTCTTTGCAACTTGCAGAAATGAGCTTGGCATAGCCACTGTCAAGTGAGCGCCTTCAAGTTGGCCGGATGGCAGTGCACTTGGCCGGTGGCTCCTCCCAGCTGCCCTGGTCTTCCAGGACACAGGGTCTGGGAGACACTTGTCTCTAAGTCTCCCTGCTCCCCGCTTCAGTACCTGGGTCATTTCCCAGGATGGGGGCTGACAGTTCCCCTCTGGGGGCCCATCTGGCTACTTAGGGGTGGCCTGGAATCTAAGGATCCATTTCTCCCAACCTCCTAGAGTTAGGTGAGGCCATGTGGCCCTACATGCCAGGAAGTCTGCCTAGTGCTGTGAGACCTCTCCAGTGACTGCAGAGGTGAAGACAGCTGTCCACCTGGTTGAACAAGGATGGATCGGGCCAGGCTCCAGCTGCCGAGGCCGGAACCACAGCTGCTAGGACCACAAGATAAAGCTAAAGTCCCTGAAAATCCTGACACCTGGGGTGCTGACCTAGGGTTTTCAGGTTGCTCTGATTATGGTTCACCGCCCCACCCCCCCACCCCCAGGGCCGCCTAGCAGCTCCACTTTATTACTACAGAGCAGTGATCTTAGGGCTAAGTCCTAAGGGCTGGCTCCTGGCCTGTAGAAGCGCAGGCTCTGGGGGTGGGGATGAGTTAGCAAGTATGTGCCCAGCACACAGAGCCCTGGGTTCAGTCCCTAAGTGCCACAGCTTGTTTCCCTAAGAAAGCAGAGAATAGTGAAGTACTCTCTGATTTGGGGAAGATCAGTGAACTAATCTAGGCCACATCTGAGCTCACCCTCCTCTCTGAGTTTAGGGGTGTGCACGCACAAGGACATCTCCCCTGGACTGACTGCTCCAGAGCTGATACTCTCTGATAAGAACTCATGGGAACTTGCAATCACTACACACACACTGTTACTCACTTCCCATGAAGGGATCTCTGTAACATTATTTTTAATGTATCTTTTAAAAATGTATTTGCATTTTCCCTTCCTGAAAGAATCTAGAAATACTTACGGACCAGAAGTCATGAATGGAGCTAGAGCGTTTGGCTGCAGTGGTTCAGAATGGACAGTGCGGTCACTGGCTGCACTGGGCCTTCTGGCAGGAGTGTGGTGGGGTTGGTGCGCACCATCCAGCTGGGTGTACGCTGAGAGACATGCCTGCTGTCCCCTCAGCCCTGGCCACCACAGCAGGACCACTCAATCAAAAAAGCCAACGGATCAAGCTGGGCACTGGCGGCTCCCATCAGTAATCTTAGCTATTCAGGGAGCTAAGAATATTTCAGAATTGTGGTTCAAAACTAGCCTAGGCAGGAAGTCCATGAGACTCTTATGTCCAATTAACCACCAAAAAGCCAGAAATGGAGCTGTGGCTCAAGTGGTAGCATGCCAGCCTTGCGTGAAAAAGCTAAGGGACAGCGCCCAGGGCCCTGCACTCAAGTGGCATGCGCATGCGCGCGCGCACACACACACACACACACGCACGCCAATGAATTGCTTTCACCTCATTTTAAAAACAGATATAATATGCATTTAATTTCATTCAATCAACCAATTCCAGTTAACTTACCATCTCTTAGAAAACTTAGGAAAAAAGGAAGCATAAATCGTAAGTACTCCAGAGATGCAGAGCGCAGAGGACAACCAGTGCACACGTGGCGGATGAGCTGTAATTTAGGTAATGCAAGAAGAGGAAAAAAATCACCGTAATTTATTGCTGATCTATGCTTCCCCAAGGGACTGGATTGTGAAGGAGCCACCGAGTGCCACCTTCTGGTTTAAAATTGTGCAACGTGTCCTTTATTTCTGTTCAGATGCCATCTTATGGTAGATGTAGAAAGCAACTGCAGCAGTTACAAAATGTTGTCTGAGTAATTCTGGGAGCTCAAAACAAGGATCTGTGTATAAGCTGAGTAAGAAGGTGTTCAATTAATAGTGCACATTGTATAATTTAAACATCTTTAACGGGGGAACTTTTTTATGTAAACCTTAACAGAGACTCAGAGATGGAAAGCAAATTACCTTTTCCAAAGTGTAGTCAGGTGGTCTACATTCTTGCAAACGTTTTACAAAGTACAAGAAATGTTGCGTGTTGGGGCCTCAGCCTAGAATAATTCGGATTTTACAGGAGCAGTAGGGGAGCAGGAAGTGAGCAAACACCCTGCCGCCTCTGCACTCAGCTGTGCACCCCTCAGAATGGCAGTGGTCACCTGGCAGAAAGCTACCCTGCAATTCTTTTTGGTTGTTTAAAATACAAGCACTTTCAGACATTCCCTCCCAGGCTATGCCGTGTGCTCCACCCCACCCAGGCAGGATAAAAGCTCACATCCTCTTGCTTCATTTTCCCCTTAGAATTATTTACAGGACGCCTACAGATACGGTACGAACTAGTATGAAATTAATGATCGTTTGCATTTCCAGACACGCTCCTGTGGTTAAAATAAATACACCACGCCGACTCTGAAGAACGGTTCAAAGTTATGGTGACTCAGAAGCACTGGCATTGGTCACGGCAACAGCAGGCGACTCGCTGGCTGTGGGGGAGTCGCTGGCTCTGTCCTCAGCAGTGGTGGGGGCCTTGGAAGTGGGGGGTGTCACAGCCACAGGGAGTGAGGTGGCAGCATCGGCCTTTGCAGTAGTCGTGATGACAGGGTTGGAAGGCAGGCTGCCAGCAGGTGGAAGTGAGGACAGCAGCTCCCCAGAGCTGGCTGCAGAAGAGCCCTCTGGAACCAAAGGGAATGACGGGAGCAACTCGGCTGGCATGGTGAGAGGTGCAATGCCAGGCAGGTTTCGGGGAGGCAAGGAAGGAAGAGGTGGCAAACCTAGGACAAAAATGGCAGAGGTCACACATCCTCCCAGCATCTGTCACGGAGCTACTGCAGGTGAGCAAAGAACACAGAAGCATACCTCTGGCCTTGGGGCGGCTGGCCTCGGCAAAGGTTCACTATGCTAGGCACTAGGGTCTCAGCCCAGCACTGAGGAAAATCAGCAGAGGGGAGGAGGATCCCAGCCCCCCAGAAGGATGGCAGCCCTCTGGAGAATCCCACTCCTGCAGGTGACCTGGGAGCCCAACTATATGTAAGAGTTGCCTCTTGCCAGACATGGGGAAGACGAGACGTGGAGTCCAACCGAGAGGCTGGGACAGCAACCCTGCACTGTCCCTTGCACCTGTATGGGAAGCAGGCCCTGACATCCACAACTCACTCTCTAGCCCTCCCACTGATGAGCGAGGTGAGCGATTCCCAGCGAGCATTACAAGGTGCACGGCTAACAGCTAGGCAGCGATGCGCACTCTGGGGGAGTTGGGCCACAAAGAGTGCAGTCATCGGTGTCATGGGCCGTTCGAGCGCAGGCCTGTGGAGGCCCTGCTTCATTTTCATCTGCACACACACTGCACATCACATCTGTTCTTAACTATCTGCAGTTAAAACCTCTCACGGTTCTTATTTTAGAAAATGTTTGTTAATACTGGGAAATATTTAGCCAGACATGGTGGTACATGCCTGTACATGCCTAGATTACATGCCTGTAATCTAGCCAGCACTCTACCCTTTGAGCTACTATGCTACTTCTGGTTTTCTGGTGGCTAACTGGAGATAAGGGTCTCACAGGAAAAAAAAAAAAGTCTCACAGGGACTTTCCTGCCTGGGTTGGCTTAGAACCATGATCCTCAGATCTCAGCCTCCTGAATAGCTAGGATTATAGATGTGAGCTACCAGAGCCTGGCATCATAAAGATATTCTTTCTACTTATTTTTAAAGTTTTTTAAACAAAAAGATCAATATTGGTTTGAAGTAGCTGGAATTGGTTATTTATCAGAAAAAACTGAACTAGAGGGCTGGCTCTCCAGAATACAGCTTTCTCTGAGCAGGGTCCTTGGTGCGGAATACATACCGGGGTTCACGAGCTCCGGCAGGCTGACCCCTGGCATGATGTGTGGTGCAGGAAGGTTGAGGTTGGGGAGACTGGGGAGGTTAGGCAGTCCTGCTGGCAAAGGCATCAGACCTGAGCAGAGAAGCAGGAAAGAATGGAAAGGTAAGTAAGGCCTTCTTCACCAAGGGAAGAGGAGAACTCCTTACGTAGCACCCACCTCAAAGTGAGTACCAAGCTCACTTAAAGTGTGATTCGCGTCAGTTTAAGAAGGCCATAACACAGTTGCACTGAAGGGAAGGATGTCTTTCTACCAGCATGATTAGGCAGCTAAATGGGTAAAGGTGAAAACAACTAAGCTTCTCAAAGTCTGGACAAGAGCCATGATGGCCACGTGCAGGGGTGGAAGGCTGAGTTATTTTATAGCAACTTCAGAAATTTTCTTTAATGATTGAGGTTTATGTTGGCTTTTTTGTTTTTTTGGTGCTGCTACTGGGGCTTTAACTCTGGGACTAGATGTTTTTTTGCTCAAGACTAGCACACTACACCTTGAGCCCCAGCTCCATGTCTGGCTTTTTAGTGGGTACCTGGAGATGAGTGTCTCAATGACTTTGCTGCCCAGACTGGTTTCAAACTCAATGCTCAGATCTCAGCCTCCTAAGTAGCTAGGATTATAGGTGTGACCCTTGGTGCCCAGCTTGGCTTTTGTTTTTATTCTAATTTCAGGCTTGCAATCGCAAACATAGTAATACAAATCTCCATGTTTCTATTGCCTCAATTCCTCATTTGTTACCAGTTTCATTACACTTGACCCATCAACTGAGTGTGTGTGTGTGCATGCTCACTTTGTTCATAGCTCACTGTGACTGTACAATGTCAACTTCAACTATGTCACAAAAGATTTCACAGCAAAATTAGAATTACTAAAATCGTATTTCACTGTTACCAGCGATATAAAGGGACTTGGATCACTGTCTTTTAGGACATTCACAATAGTCACTAGCAAAGTTCTAACTGTACTGTGGGACTTGGGACTGGGGGAGCTGGCTGGGTAAGGAGCCTGAGGCAGCTAACACCTTGGTTTCCTTGTCAATTAAGGAGAGCTGTCACTTGCTTTCCTTTATCACAAAGCTAATGTAGGCAACATGACTGAAAGCCCTAAACCATCACCAATGGGAGTGAGCTGCTTCAGGTGCAAGCACGGTCACTACACATATCTCTGGTCCCCACTGCTTACTTGGTAATGTAGTGGCTGGGTTCAGTGGCGGCACAGAAGCCAGGGACTGGTTTAGCTGTGGTGGTAACAATGGTACTGTTGGTACGCCTAAAATAAAAGCACATGAAAGAAAAAAATACAACAAATTCTGCTGACAAAGAATTGGCAGACTGTAATAGGAGCATCTTAAGCGCTTCACCTCAGTCAGGCCTCGAGTCCCAATTTCTGGCTACATCCCTGTCCACTACCATTCCAAGCCTATCTACTCACTGCCCACATCTTTATAGAGACGATAACCATAGCCTGTTAGTGGGTGGAGGCGGAGTAACCCGGCCTGGCTAACCTCAGTTGAGAAGAGGTTCACACCTGGCTTAAGCATGCCAGAAAACTGCTGAGAAATGTGGAAATAGAACACAAGGACTTTTGTCAGTTGATATTGGGCTACTGAACCAGCAGGCTCTGGTGAACCTGAGGTCTGTGGGAGCCCTATGTGTAGTAAATGCTACTGGCACAGAGGACACTGACAAAGATGCCCCAAGTCAACAGAGCACATGGAACATTAGAGGTGGAGAAAATGACTGATTATCTGTTTCCTTAGGTATAGGTTCCGTGATTTTCCTGTGCAGTGTAACACATCCCTGCTGTACTCATGGCTCCTAGAAGAGGTTCTATGCTCCATGTACAAGGGACTCTGATAAAGAACTGCTAACAATGCCTATCACCTACTTAACTGGGAGCTTTTCTCTCAGTTAACACTGAGGGCTGGGAATGCATGAAGCCCTGGGTTCGATTTCTCAGTACCACATAAAAACAGAAAAAGTGGCAAGTGGAGTTGTGGCTCAAGTGGTAGAGTGCTAGCCTTAAGCAAAAGAAGCTCAGAGACAGTACCCAGGCCCTGAGATCAGGCCCCAGGACTGCCAAAAAAAAAAAAAAAGAACACTGAGTATTCTTAATATGAAAAAAATCTATAATTGGAGACATTCCTAGATATAAAACTTTCTTCAGGGCAAATGTTAATCCATAAGAAGTTGCTTATAGGGATAGAAATTATATTGCATACACTAAAATATTACATAAAATTTTATGTGTGTATATGAAATGTGAATGAATTTTATGCTTAGAATTGTGTTCTATCCCCAAGATACCTCATCACATATATGCAAATAAACACTTCTGGTTCCAAGCACTTTGAATACTGCACACAGACTAAAATTTTGTCTTCTAGAGCTATGCTTAGATATGTCTAAATATTATTCCTGAAAGTATGAGCCAGCCATTTTCAGATCATCTTATTCATATATTTATTTTTCTACAGAGATTAAAGGCATGCAAAAAAATATTGAACAATAAATGAATGACTGAAAGGAAGACCCTGGCCCAGACTGTGTAATCCAATGTTGGAAGCTGTTCTCTATTCTGTACCAAATTGTTAGAAACCATGTGCTGTTGGGTGCTCACATACAATAAATAGCAACAGAGAGCTACTTTATATTTGTCTTCCAATTTCCGATTAAAAAAAGAATATTCCAGACTTGTTGCAAATTTCCTCTGTTCCTAATAAAATCATGTAAGTTTCTTTTCATTTTTATGGTATATCCATTGTCTCAAAAACTATTAACTAAAACGGGTAAAGAATTGTATATCTAGGACCCATGAATGGGCTTTGTTAAAGCACTTTTTGTATGTTTTTTGACAATCGTTCTTTTTTCCTAAGATTCTGAAAGGAGTTAGGTGGCTGGATGTTCATTCATTTCAGTTTACTGTATGTTCTTGCACTGTCTGGGCAATGATACATCAGGAAGAAACAAATCTCAACCTTCAGGAAACTTACATTCTAATGAGAAGCAGGAAAAGCAAGTAACATCCATAGCATGGGAAATGGCACTAAGTTCTCTGCAAAAAAATTAAGCAAGAAAGGGGGACAGGGATGGGGAGGGGTTTACCGAAAAGGTCACACTGACTAATGTCAATTTAAAATATCTTCATTTTCTAAAAGTTTCACAACCCCACAACTTTCATAGTCACAAAGAAGTATGTTTTCATATCTCTCCTGTTTGGGCTACTCTGAAAGTACTGCAATTAACACCGAAGATGAAAAACTAAATAACAAAAGTTGTTTGGTATTTGGATGTGGTGGCAAATGACTATGATCCTGGCACTCGGGAAGCTGAGCAGGAGAGCAATGTCAGGGCCAGCCTGTAGTGAGATTCTGCCTCAAAAATGAGTTGTTTCTCACATGCTGATGCCAGAACATTTTAATTTTTTTCTTTGTAGTATAAACTCAGTGATCTCAGTAATTTGTTTATAAGACCATGCAAGTATAACTATGATGCAAGGAAGGAAGACTTTAAAAAATCAAAGAGAAACCAGGAACTGAAGATGTGGCTCAAGTGGTAGAGTGTGAGCCAATAGAAAAAAGCTGAGTTAAGAGTGTGAGGTAGAGTTCAAGTCCTAGTACCTCTAAAACAAACAAAAAGGAGAACTTGAAGAGAGATGTCTGCTTTCTCCTAAAATCAGAAGAGCTGTTATATGGCGATGCACACTCTGGTAAGAATTACTCAAGCACAGAACGGTGTGCTGACACACTAGGTTCTCAGCAGAACCTTACCAGCTCTACTTAGGAATGAACTTGATACGCATCTGATGGGGTACACGGAAACACCACAATATTATGAAAAGGATTCACACCTTGCTGGAATGGAATAAAATCTAAGATCCCTTCCAAGTATGTCTTCGATCAGGTAATAACACCAATAATAGGTGTCTTCTAGAAAATGTTCTAAAACTGAATTGTGTACAGCTCTATATATTAAAAAATCACTGAGATGCATACTTCCAGTGAGTTAATTTTATGGTATGCAATTACATTTCAGTGAAACTGGAAAAGAAACTAGCAAACTGATGACGTGAAGCTGGGTGACAGCATCCCACATATATTCCATCATTTTTGTGTCTGAAATCATCTATTTTATCTGGAAAAACACATCTTCAAGGAAATAAAACTAAGACTCTGAAAAGACTTGGATTTGAACCCGGGGGAAAACTCCAAATATCATGACATTCCCCTTATGACTCCTTCTTGGTGGCTATGTGAGGCTCTCCAAGAACAAAGTGGAATAAAAGAAAAATTAACATATTTAAGAAAGCAAGAATAAAATTATATATACATTTCACTAGATATAATAAAAACATGAATTCTAGTCGTTTTATCACTGATTACTGAATAGGTGATATACTCTTGATACTATGAAGAATGAAAACCAGACCAGGAGACTAAATAAAGGAGATGAAAACTAAAGCCCGTCTTAAATTAATCATTGTATTATAACCTAGTAATTGCACTCCAGGGATACAACCCAGAAAATGGAAAATATATTGATGTGAAAGCTTGTATATAAGGTGAGAGTAGCATTGTTCCAAACAGCTGGAAAAAGAAAAGAAAAGCAAAGGAAAAGAAGAGAAAAGAAAAGAAAAGAAACATCCTGGATGGGCTCACGCCTGTAATCTTAGCTACTCAGGAGGCTAAGATCTAAGGATCGTGTTTGAAGCCAGTCTAGGCAGAAAAGTTCTCATGAGATTCTTACCTCCAATTAACCACTCAAATACTGGAAGTGGCGTTGTGGCTCAAGGGGTACAGTGCTAACCTCAAGCACAAAGAGGCTCAGGGACACCACCTAGGCCCTGAGTTCAAGCCCCACAACTGAGCAGAAGAAAGGAAACATCCTAAATATCTCTCAAGTGAGTGATGAATGGATAAGGAAAATGTGGTACAGTGTTATTTAGTCATGATCATTCACAAAAGACCACAAATGTTCTAAGACATGTCCAGATGAAGCAATGCCTAATGAAAGTTGACCAGTAGTTGCGTAAGGCCTAGGGAGTGACTGAAGTTGGATATAAAAATTTCTTTAGAGGGCTGGGAAGGTGGCTCAGTGGTAGAGTGCTTGCCTTGCATGCATGAGGCCCTGGGTTCGATTCCTCAGCACCACATAAGCAGAAAAAAAAAAAGCCAGAAGTGGCGCTGTGGCTCAAGTGGTAGAGCGCTAGACTTGAGCTGAAGAGCTGAGAGACAGCGCCCAGGCCCAGAGTTCAGGCCCTACAACTGGAACCAAAAAAAAAAAAAAAATCTTTAGAAGCAATGACATGTTCTGAGGTATTGGCTGTACAACTGTGTAAATATACCAAAAGTTCACTGAATTAGTACTTTAAGTGAGTTATATGGTATGAGAATTCTATGTCCACAAATATGTTTTAAGAAAAGACCCTAAAACAAAAGACTGAATAAGAACAAGGAAAAAGCAGAGAATGCCAAATGCTAGTGGCTCATAACTGTAATTCTAACTACTCAAGAGGCTGAGATCTGAGGATCGAGGTTGGAAGCCAGTCTGGGCAGGAGAGTTCTTGACACTCTTATCTCCAATAAGCCACTCAGAAAAAGTCAGAAGTGGCACTGCGGCTCAAGTAGTAGAGTATTAGCCTTGAGCAAACGAGGCTTGGGGACAGTGCCCAGGCACTGAGTTCAAGCCCCAGGACTGGCAGGAAAAAAAATCAGAGAACAAGGTATGAACCCCCTGAGTAACCGAGCCCTGGAATGTAGAGTCTCAATTCTGCAAGCTGTATACCTGAAACTGCAGAGGGGAGGTTTGAGTGCTAGCCCATGTGTGTACATGTGTGGGGATTTATGCGTTTTCACAGACAGGTCAGAGCAGGTTACAGATCTCCAGGCACAGTGGCATTAAGTTTAAAATGCTCTGTAAGACTATCATATAAGACAAAAAAGACTGAAAACAGCAAATCATCCTTTCTCACCTGTACTGAGAACATTACTGACAGCTGGTGGTGGAGTTGAGCTAATAGAAAGTCCAGACAGAGCCTGTTCCATTCCTGCAGTTCCTGGTGGTGACAAAGGTGGAGGATTTACTGAAGAGAGCTGGACCTTTCAAGACAAAAAGGAAAACAGAGAAAGGAAATGATTTAAGTCTGCTTGAAACAATATGTAAATACAGCTCTCCCCTGCAGATACATACTTGGATCATATTCTAGCTGTTCAGAGTTTCGCCTGGCATTTCTGCTTCCAATGGTTCTTCCTGATTTTGACACATCCAAAGAGCACACACTGGAAACATCTTCCCACCCATTACCTCCCTCTTCTAACACATGGTCTCCAGCCCTAGTTGCATGCGTTAAGGTCCCTCCACACTACTCTAAGAGGGTCTAATCATTCTTTCTTCCTAGATACCTAGAAATGATTTTCTTCAATCCTTAAACCATCTGAATTGTCATCGGTTTTTTGTTTTTTGTAAATTTTCATTATGGACGAAATGAGCTAGAGGCCTTTAACATCATGATAGATTTCTTAAAAGTTTCTCAGAATTAAAAAAAAAACATTTAAGTAGCTGTCACCCCTTTCAACATTCTCATCCACCTCTGCTAACCAACTTCTTTCCTCACTTTTCGTAATTTTTTGTTTCTCAAGACTTCTATCCTCCTGAATCAGCTAATCTTTTCTCATCAGTGAATGGAAGTGGCACCAGATCTCCACCATGGACTCCAGTGTCACCATATTAAGCGTCACTTTGGACTATGCCAACTTTTGCTAGCTCTTGGCATCCCAAGAGTGTGTATTCTGGCTGTTTCCCAGGCAGGAACCACTACTCAGGGCTCTGGCCCTGAGCTCATGACAAGGGGTAAAGCTCAAACTACTTGGTACAATTCTCTTTGAACTGGGGATGGCCAAATTGTGTATCATACAACGGCAGTTGCAGAAGCCCTGTGTACCCACATTTGGTTTTCACTTAGTTCTGCAGACACTAGGTAACTGTCCTGGGACACCTGGGATGCCTGCTCTAACAGGCATCTAATTCCCTTTGCTTCTCAAACAAGCTTCCAGAAGCAGTAAGCACTAGCTAGCTTTCCTTAGTACCCACCAGCACTGTGTCCCCTGCAGTTAGATGTTTCTCCCACCAAGTCTCTGAATGGGCTCTCCTCCAGGACACCTTTCTGTTCTTCTCTCTGGCTTCTCTGCTGCACAAAGTGTGGCTGAGCACACCCTTTCCCTGAGGCTTTCTCCTGAGCTTCCCCTTCAAGATCCGTATTTTCAGGATTCTAACTTCTGTCCTCTTGACTCAGGCAGATCTAATTCTTGCACAATTTTTATCACGATCCCTTGGGTCAAATTACCCTTGCTCTGTTAATGATTCTCAAATCTGCCTCTCTATCCCCTTCCTCACTCCTTAAGTCCAGCCCCATATGCCTAACCTCCATCTGGGTATCTTAGAGGAACCTCAAATTCAACCTGATGATAATACTTAACTCACCATGTGACCTATCTCAATTAGTGCTACAACCATATGCATCAACACAGGGAACTGTGTTGCAGGAAATGTCAGTGGGTAATGAAGTTATCTTACCTCTGTAAATCCATCTTTAAGAGGAGTAATAGGTGGACCTGTCATTTGTCCTGGAAGAGAAATTTTCTTGCCTTCTTCAAATGGGCGTGTAGGTATTCGATGTAAATAACCATATCCAATGCCACATCCTAGGCTGTAAAAATTTTCTTTCTTAAAGTTATTGTTATATTACAGCTTATTTAAATTTTGAAATATAAAAGCAAACACATGCTTTTCTATTCTTTTAAATAATGTCATCTTATCAGAGGTATACACTGTTTATTCTGTATGAAATAGTACTCTTCCCTTCACCACACTGATACCACCTAGACTTTACCTCAAACAATTACCACCACCTGATACACTGCATATTTATTGTTTTGTCTCCCTCCATAAAATGTAAAAGCCTATAAAGAGGAATGTTTACTGTTTATCAGTTCCTACCTGAATGAATAACAATCTTCCCAATGAAGGGCTTTTTAATGATATTATCTACGCATTCCATATTGCTATTTCAGAATTTATCAGAAACCAGTCATGTACAAATCAGCAATCCAGATTTTCTTCTAATTCACCCCAATATTGCCACCAGAAGCATCTTTGTAAAAAGATGTTAAGTATATTGCTTCTTCCATAGTCTACTGGCTTCCCAACAGACTTTCTGCTTACTTTGGGAAATTACTTCTTCATGGTCTCTATGTGCATGCTGGTGAGCCTGTAAGCAAGGGTGCCTACTCTGCCTAATCTAATGGGAAAGTCTGTGGCCAAAGCTGGGACTACAACCCTCTCTAGTCCAGGTTTGTGGCTCTCCCCGGCCAAGGCACATAATAGCTTCATGGGCACCACCACCAAGAGCTTGGAGAAAGCCAGGTACCAGTGGCTCAAGGCTGTAATCCTCAGGAGCTTGAGATCTGAGAATTGAGGTTTGAAGTCACCTAGGTAGGGAAGTTCATGAAACTTTTATCTCTAAATAACCACCAAAAAGCCAGAATTATACCTGTGGCTTACTTGGTAGAGTTCCAGCCAAGAGCAAAAGAGCTGAAAGACACTATGCAGGTCCAGAGTCCAAGCCCCAGTACACAGACACAGACACACAGACACAGACACACACAGTGAGGAGAGTGGGCAGTAGCCAACTTCCACTCTTCCTTATCTAAATCTAATTTGCACAATGGTGCTTTATATTATAAAATAACATTCCTTCCTCATCATTACAACTACAATTCTCATTAGACTGAATCCTCAAGTTTAGAGGAAGAGAGAATTTATATTTTTGTCAGTAGTAGGGTTTAAACTTAGGGTTCTGAGCTTGCTGCTGTGCTCGTCTACTAGCCCAAACAAAGATGTTGCTAGCCCAAAGATTAAATAACCTAAGCTGATCAATGACAGCCTTTTAAAGCAAGCTACATTTATTAATCCAAACTAAGTGATTATAAAGAAGTACTTAAGGCAACAGCAAGAGCCTCTCTAAAAGTACCCAAAGAATGAAATTAAGAGAAGTATGATATAAGACTGGCTCATGCCTATAATCCTAGCTACTCAGGAGGCTGAGATCTGAGGATCATGGTTCAAAGCCAGCCTGGGCAGGAGAGACCGTGAGACTCTCATCTCCAGAAATGGAGATGAAATGGCCAGAAGTTGCACTGTAGCTCAAGTGGTAGAGTGTTAGCGGTGAGCACAGAGAAACTCAGGGACAGAAGCCAGGCCGAGTTCAAGCACCAGGACCAGCAAAAAAAAAAAAGAATGACATGTGGTCAGCACCTAAGGAAGAAATGAAAACACCCAGTGATTAGGAGCGATGGGTGACAATGTTGTCAGACACCTTGTATTCATATACTGTTTTGTAGAACGGGAACTTCTTTGTACAACTACTTAAAGATAATAATAAAAAAAGTTAAAAAAAAAAAACCCAGTGATACTCTTGAGTGCACTGTGAGAGCAGGTTCAGTAAAAGCCTATCTAAAGCAACACTGATCTGTGATATTAAACTCCATCTGACGAAAAGGACGATGACGGAAGTCTACAAAGGATGAGTCCCAAGAACAAGAATATAGCTGTGTTCAGGCAGTGTAATTAAAAATGAAAGCACACACCATGTTTTTGCTCGCAGAAAGCTTTTCATTATATTTGGTTCTATGCTCAACAAGCACTATTGTGGTAGTAATGTACTCTGAGTATTCTTCCAACTACAGAGGAGTACTTTGCCACTTAAATGGAAATGTAAATTTAGTTTATTTGGGGCAGGTCCTCTGAAATGGATCAACTTGGGATGTCTTGGGGACATCATCTTTGAGTAGTTATAAGCCTGGGAAATGGGCAGTTATAACCTGGTTAAATACTGCCATAGACGGGACAGATTTCTTGAGTCACAGTTAGAACCGTGGTGGTGAAACATGTTCAGCGGAGAATCTCAGGCACTGGGAGCTCACGGAGCCTTTCCTACAACCAAATCATCCTTTTCCCAGCAAGAGTTACAACTTTTACCAAACATTTGGAAAGTTTCCAAACTCTTCATTTTTCTGAAACTATGGTTCATGCTCAATAATTTCTCAAATAAAAATTATGTTTTTTTAGATTACTACAGAAAGGAATTAAAATACAGATGCTTTGCTCCTTTTAAAAAATAAACGGCTGCTTTCAATGTTTTAGGTTAACATTTCAAGGGGGCCTGATAACAAAATAGTAACTTATGTCAAACTAAAAGCAATACAACACATCTGACCGATGAAGCTTAACTTAGTCTCAAATGACCTTACCTGCCTTCTCCACCCCAGGCAGAATTTGGTGTAATAATCACTTCACGACAGTTATCAGTGTCTGTGTTATATACGTAAAGCTTCAGTGGTTTTGCTTCATGTGTTTCAATAAGACTGAAGAGATCTTCAGACTGTACAAGTATCAAAGGAATAAAGCAGTTCAGAATAGTGGCTCTCAAACCTGGCTCCTCTCAAATCATTTGGAAAACTTCCTTTAAAACTCAAGTTTCTCACATTTTTCTAATTTGGGGAGGAGAAGGGAAAAAACAAAATGCTTAAATAGGGACACAGGTTGACTCATTGTATCAATGAGATGAACAAGACAGTATGTTGAAAATGAACTTTACTTCAGGTGCACCAGGGGGGAGGTGGGGGAGGGGGAAGTTAGGGAGAGAAGGGATGGTAGGGGAAAAACAAAGGAGGGTGTAACTGCTCCATAGGAAATGGACTCATTACCTTGCTCATGTAACTGTAACCCCTCTGTACAGTATCTTTACAATAAAAAATATATAAAAAAGAAAAAGAAAAAAACCTCAGTTTCTCACTGGCTGCCTGTAATCCTAACTACTCATGTGGCTGAGAATGGCAGTTTTGAGCCAGCCTGAACAAGAAAGTCCAAGATACATCTCTAACTACCAAAAAGCTGGAAGCAGAGCTATGGCTCAAGAAGTAGAGTAGTAGCCTTGAGCAATAAAGCTCAGGGACAGCATCCAGGTCCTAAATTTAAGCCCTATGGTAAGCACAAAAGAAAAAAAAAAATCAGTCCAGAAAAAGGGATATCTGACCAAAGGAAAATTTAAGGTTACCTTTGTTTCTGTTGGGTCTTACCCATCTTACCCATTCAAAATCATTGCTGAAAGATTAAAAGTTCAAATTTTCCCCGCTCAGAAAGTACAAAGGCTACAGATAGGAGCCACCATTTTGAATTTTTAAGTCCTAGATCCTTCATAAGGATCAGGAAATACTTCTCCTTATCTAGTCCTTCATATTTTAATCTTGTTAGACTAAAATAAATCCTTGCTTAAAAAACCAACAACAAACAAAAAAGCCAAAAAACAGTGTCTGGGGCTGGATATGAGGGAGACTCAATTTATAAAGTTCTTGCCTAGTAAGCGCAAAGCCCTGGCTGTTTAAACACCAGCACTGCAAAACTAAATAAAATGAAACAGAATTCAGTTCTGGGCCTTGTTCTGAACACTGAAATGACTAATTAAAAATCAATGCACCAAAAAAAAAGTTTATTTCAAGGTAAAATTCAACATATTAATTCAAGCAAAGCTACTAGGTGTGAGGCCTTGGACCTGGTTCCTAAAGACTTACTCAACACTCATTGACTCTTCTACCTACAAGAAGTTTTACATATTCTGCTCTTCTTCTTCATTATTATTACATTACTACATTACCACATTACTACATTATTAAAACCTCATCTACTCACCTTTTCTTTCAATTTGACTCAGTAATATATTTCTACTACTAGTAGATGAGGAAAAGGTCTAACTAATATAGCTATTTTTGTCGCCTTAAAAAATTAAGGCAGGTGATGCTCAATACCACCATGGCAAATGACATGTACATATGGTTTTGCTGACCAAGATGCTACAATGATCCTCTTAGAAGTTCCAGTGAACACCCTCATGCATAAGCTACTTAACTCTAAATGTAAAACGATCTGATATCTTTCTGAACTAAAACATAAACAAGAAAATATTACATAATTGCCACACTCATTACCTCATTCATGACCATATCTGCTCCAATGATGTAATCACTGTGAGGTCGAAGACCTGCCAATGCTGCGGGAGAATTTGATTCCACTTCCTAGGAAGACACAACACACACCTCAAACTTAATATGTGTAAATTAAATATATCTATATTAATTTAATATATAATAACTGCCACAGTTTTTTTTTTAATTGGTCATAGAGCCTGAGCTCTGGACCTGGGCGCTGTCCCTCAGCTCTTCAGCTCAAGGCCAGTGCTTTGCCACTTGAGCCACAGCGCCACTTCCAGCCTTTTCTGTTTATATGGTGCTGAGGAATTGAACCCAGGGCTTCATGCATGCAAGGCAAGCACTCTACCACAGAGCCACCTTCCCAGCCCAGTTTTTTGGATTTTTTTTGGTCAGTCATAGGCCTGGGTACTGTCCCTAAGCTCTTATGCTCAAGGCTAGCACTCTACCACTTGAGCCCAGAAGCTACTTCTGGTTGTCTGGTGGTTAACTGGAGATAAGAGTCTCGTGGATCTTCTTGCCTGGGCTGGCTTTGAACCATGATCCTCAGATTTCAACCTTCTGAGTAGCTAGCATTACAGGTGTGAGCCACTAGCACCTGGCACTGCCATAGTTCCTAATTGCAATAATTTAAATCTCCTCCATATTTCTGTCTTATTAGAGATAATGTTACATAAAAGAAACTAGGGAGCCAGGTGTCAGTGGCTCACATCTGTAGTCCTAGCCACTCAGGAGGCTAAGTTCTGAGATCACGGTGTGAAGCCAGCCCAGACAGAAAAGTCCATGGGACTCTTTTTCTTTTTATTGTTGGTCGTGGGGCTTGAACTCTGGGACTGGGCGCTGTCCCTCAGTTTTTCAGCTCAAAGCTAGTACTCTACCACTTCAGTCACAGTGCCATTTGCAGCTTTTTCTGTGTATGTGGTGCTGTGGAATTGAACCCAGGGCCTCATGCATGTGAGGCAAGCATTCTACCACTGAGTCACCTTCCCAGCCCTCCATGGGACTCTTATCTCCAATTAACCACCACAAAACTGGAAGTAGAGCGGTGGCCCAAAGTAACGAACACTAGTCTTGAGCAAGTAAACTCAGGGACAGCGCCCAGGCCCTGAGTTCAAGCCCCACAAAGAACCAAAAAAAAAGAGAGAGAGAGAAAGAAACTAGGGAAGAGATATATTTAAAACTTCTAAGCATGTAAGTTATAAAATATCGGGCTGGGAATGTGGCTCAATGATAAGAGTGCTTGCCTAGCATGTATGAAACCTTGGGTTCAATTCCTTATACACAGATAAAGCCAGAAGTGGTGTTATGGTTCAAGTAGTAGAGCACTAGCCTTGAACAAAAGCAGCTCATGGACAGTGCCTATGCCCTGAGTTCAAGCCCCAGGAATGGCCAAAAAAAAAAAAAAAGTTACAAAGTATCTAATATTTAAACTATTTCTGTAGCTTTAACATATGTACCTTTCTCTAACAAAACAAAAACAGAAAAAGAGTTCTGAAAGTAAGGGGTGTAATGACATGCCTATTATCTGAGACAGGAGGATCTCTAAATCAAGGCCAGATGGGCTATACAGTGGGACCCTATCTCAAAATCCAAAGCAAATTTAGGCTTCTTTTTAGCTTCTCTTCTTCAGGTTTCTTAAAAAATAATTCATATTTAAAAAGCAACGTATGCTGATTTTCAGAAACAAAAACTGGCCCAATAATACCGTGTATCTGCCCATAGCGCAGGCCTATCCCACCATCACACCTTTCTACGGCTTTTCATACGGCAAGTAACAGTTAATGTCAATACCTACCAGCACGTGCCAAACGTTCTCATTTGCCCCATCAAAACTGCAGAAACGAATGCTCACTCCCAGCAAGCCCTGGCCACCCCACAAGTTGCTGGGTGTGACTGAAGTCTCCCGCAGCTCTAGAGTTTTGCTGCTATAGATGAGCATTTTTACAGGCTTTTCAACATTTGCTTTCAATAAATCCTTCAGAGTGTCATTATCTTTATTCTGTGGATAGGCAGAAATCATATTATATTACTTAATAAATAAATCATATTTTTATTGCTTAATAAATAAAACTTTAATGCTAACTATGCTTAGAGTAAGCATCCTATAATATTCTGAGTAATACTGATAATCTACATAATAAAACATTCATCAGGCAAAGGTTTCATCAACATTCAAATATGTCTCCATGTAAAAAAAAAATGTCAGAAATTAAGATAACTATGTTTGCAGCAACTTAAAAGCTGACTATGGAACTAGAAAACTTGTGTAACCCAGCATTAAGAGTGGTAAAGAAACTTCAGTGATTAAAAACAATATATCATAAGAAGTCACAGTATTTAAAAAAGGTGAAATGGCATTAATTCCAAAATCAAAACATATTCTACTTCTAAATATATCTTATTTTTTATTAGGAGCTAGAAGGAAAATGGAAATAGAATTTAAATATATTTCATTACATAAAAAAAATAAAGGCCACTGTGTCAGAAATGCTGTTACATAATGAAAAAAAAGCTTTAAAACTGATACATAAAAAAGACAAACCTATTCAGTCACTACTGTCATACAAAATTTCCTCTAGAAAACTGGGTACTGCTGGCTTAAGTTGGTGGCTCACGCCTGTAACCTTAGCTACTGAGGAGGCCGAGATCTGAGAGCTGTGGTTCAAAGCAAGCCTGTCCAGGAAAGTCCACGAGACTCTTCTCACCACCAAAAAGCTAGAAGTAAGACCTATATATAGCTCATGGATAGACTACTAGCCTTGAGCAAATAAAGGTCAGGGACAACACGCAGGCCCTGAGTTCAAGGCCCCAGACCGGCACAAAAACATCAAAACAAAAAATAAAACCAATCCAGTCACTACTGTCATAAAAAATTTCCTTTAGAAAGCTGGGCACCAGTAGCTCATGCCAGTAATCCTAGTCCTCAGGAGGGTGAGATCTGAGGCTCATAGTATGAAGCCTGCTTGGGCAGGAAAGTCAATGAGACTTGTTAAACACTTAACAGTGGAAAAGTAGAGCTTTGGCTCAAGTGGTAGAGCATTAGTTTTGAGCAAAAAAAAAAACTCAGGGACAGCACCCAGGCTCTAAGTTCAAGTGCTAGTTCCAGCATGTGCGCACACGAAACATGCTTGTGCACACACACGCACAATTTCCTATTAATCCTTTCTATAGGATTTTATTATGAGTAAATTGAAAAAATTCTAAAATGACACTTAATTGGTCCCATTTGTCAATAATTTATACCAGTCTCACTTTTTTAAAAGGCAATCTTTTTCACTTTTTGTTTCTGATTATAAAAATTAAATATTTAACATACAAAGTAAAAGTCTTCAGTGATTCTACTTCTCTAAGATAATCATTGTAGTGTGAGTACTAGTATAGATCTTACATTTTAATGTCTAGTAATACATGGTTATTTCTAAAAACTGACATCATATTCTACATATTTGTGATGAATACACACTCCCAGATAAGTTAAAAAATTCCATTTTCAAAAAATTATAAGTTCTATAGACAAAAGCTGTACTTACTAATCTTGAACCATTAATAGAAACAATAAAGTCAAAGAAGGGCTCCAGTCCAGCTCTATGACCTGGGGAATTTTCTTGTACCTGTTAAAATAAAACAGCAAAAATGAAAAATGCACAGTTGAATGAAAAATTGTTAGCTAAATTTCAATAGCTACCCCTTCTCAGTAAAAGTAGGTTAATTTCATTACTAGTGAAATACATAGAAACATTTGAGGCCTCTCCTTTTCCTCCAGTCTCTCCCAGATCCCTAAATTCTGCCATTCTTTATGTTCCTTTTTCTGTGGGGCTTTCCTTCCATGGCTCACCACCTTCTCCTTTAGGGGGTGGGGGGAGGGGCACTCCTCCCAACACTAAGCAGAAAGAAGGCAAACAGTTAATAATTACTAGGCACTGATGGCACATGCCTATAATCCTAGCTACTCAGGAAGCTAAGAGTTGAGGATATGGGGACAAAGCCAACCTGGGCAGATAAATCTTATCTTGAATTAACCAGCAAAAAGCCTGAAGCGGATGGAGGTGGAGCACACCCCCCCCCTTAAGTGGAAGAGTTGAGTAGAAGCCTGGCCCAGTATCTATACTCCCCACCCCCCCACACAAAGATTTGCAGTGGTTATCAGTAGGCTATGCAAATAATAGCACACATCTATCCATAAAGCTAGAGTTATTTACACAGTTACTAATTATTGTTGGACTAGCTCATTCCCATAACAATTTTCCCTAATGCCAGTATCAGGATTGCCAATTAATTTCAAGGTTTTACAATTACACCACTTTTACATCAATGTTACTTTTTATCCACTTTTCAAGCCAAATCACATAATCAGGAACAAAAACTAGGTATACTTTTGTCACAGTACATACTTGTCCATTAGAAAGATGGTTTGACACCTACACTATTGTTTGATCTTGCCTTTATGTATGTTTGTCTGAAATTTTTGAGACTAAATCCTTTTTATAAGTAAATTAAATATCAAAGGGATTTTTTTGTTGTTGTTGGTCATGGGGCCTGAACTCTGGGCCTTGGTACTGTCCTTTAGCTCTTCAGCTCAAGGCTGAAGCGTGCTACCACTAAAGCCACAGTGCCACTTCCAGCTTTTTCTGCTTATGTGATGCTGAGGAATTGAACCCAGGGCCTCATGCATGTGAGGCAAGCACTCTACCACCGAGTCACCTTCCCAAGCCCTCAAAAGGATTATTTATGTAGGAGTTCAAGTGAGAGTGACTCATGCCCCATTCCTTTTTAGTCACCGCCCCCCCCCCCCCAGATAGTCTCTTGTTTTGCCTGGACCAGCAGACTTAGGTCTTCCTACCACCTCCTCTCAAGTAGCTAGGATTACAAGCTTGAGGCACCACTACCTTCTTTTAGAGCCCACTTTAACTTTGCACCTGGGCTGGTTTAACCCACAATTCTCCTGTCTTTGCCCCCAAGTAGCTAGATTTCAGGCATGTACCACTGTGCCTGGCTAGGATTCATTATTTAAAATTTCAGTTCTGTAAAAATAGCCAGTACAATTGTTGAGATTCTTTACACCCAGTTTACTTAAATGGAAGTTAGTTCGTATAATGTACTACCCAGTAAAATGTCTAGAACCTCAAATAACAGACAGTTTCTTGGGCCCAATGTTAAGTCTGAAAGGTAAGGGATAGCTGGCAGGAGCTATTATTAGAAAAGTGAAGTCAAGTTATAGCTAGCTGGGAGAAAGTCACACCTATTAGGTGTGAAATGCCTGGCCCATAAGCAGTACTCAAGTTAAGCAATTAGATGTGAAGTGCCTCCATGGGAAAGAAGACAGATCCTTAGGAGCCCCTTACAGTATAGTCTCTCAATTATCAGTCTCTTTCCCTAATTACCTAAATATCAATATTTCTAAATGACCATAATATTTTACCAAGAAAAAAAAAACCTATAGTTTATGGACTGATTTTGGATTTGTCCCTTGACACTGCTAAGTTTACCTCTTAATGAAAAAGCCTAACACCAGTACTTCTGTAAGGTCATCATCATCTCAGGGAGTTGACCCCACACTCTCCAGGACGAAGTTTAAAGTATTTGTTTGAAATGGAAACTTTCCAATATTACTGAAAGTATTCTTCCTGTCACTCAAAAGAATTCAATAGCTGTTTGTATTCTAAAATAAATAAACTAAATAATCCTTTCCCTGACTCTATTTTTCCATTTCAATTGCTACATCGATTTCCTTTGTTTCTAATGGACCTTGAAATTAATTTCTTCCCTAAATTTATTTATATCATTAGTAACCCAGCACAATTTTGGCAATATAGTGCCTTAATTACTGCTAGGAAACCAGCAGAGGGAGCCCTGGAAAAAAACGCTATCTTTGACTCCAATACCCTTAACGGAAGTTCCTTGTATTTCACAGTACGAAACGACCCACTACACAGCAACTAAACATCACACAGGTAAGTTTCTTTTGCAATACTATCCACTGGCAAGATCTCTCAGGCTCCTAGTGTCACCAGCATCGATTACTACTTCAGTATTTTCTGTCCCTTATAAGATCTCTTGATCTCTACTTCTGCTGACTTCAAGATATCTTAATTAAAATGTCTACATGTGCTTGGTTTCACAGACCATTTAACATTTATTACTGTGCCAAATACCATAGCAATTTAAGATGAACAGGTTAACTTTAAAACTTTACAAACATTTAAGATTATCTATATAAGTGTACTATGAAAGTCTTAATAGAGCTTTAGAGCACACTGACTTCGTTTTAAGCCATGGTTTTGCCCTCTTAGCTGTCTGAGCTTAGGAAAGTTTATTTACCTCTTTGGACTCAATTCTCTTTTTCAAGTATGGGATTAATGGCACCTATTCAATGTGATAAAATGTCTGAAATAACTGCTAAATCTCTAGGCTATGACAGAAGCCCACAAATCCTAAGTTGTTTCTCCAAACTCCAATCACCACTTAAGGGTAAATCCTTTTAACCAGCCACTATTTCCATAGTTATTTCCCCAATAATGTATTAAATCTCTCTAACCCTTTACAAAATAAAGATAAATATACTAGTAAAGAGTTAGATGGGAAGGGGAGACAAATAATATGTTTTTACTTAAAACTTTACTTAAAATATGTTTTTACTTAAAAATCAGTTTCAGATGGACAGCAGATCCAAAGGTCAAAAGGATTACAGGCTTATACCTGTAATCCTAGCTATTTAGGAGGCTGAGATCTGCGGATTATGGTTCAAGCCAGTCCAGGCAGGAAATTCCATGACTCCTTTCTCCAATTAACTACCAAAAAGCTGGAAATGGAGCTGCGGCTCAAGTGGTTCAGTACTAGCCTTGAGCACAAAAGTTCAAGGGCATTGCCCAGGCCCTGAGTTTCAAGCCCAGGGCTGGCACTTAAAAAAAAAAAAGACCTTCAAGAATGCAAAGACTTCCTAAAATGGTCAAAAAAGCAGTAATTATCCATTTAAAAAACACGGATCTACTGCACTATACTAAGAATTTGCACTTCAAAAGGGAATGAGCAATTAAGACAGTGAAAAGATACAATACGTATCCAACAGGGTATCAGAAACAAGTCTTGAATGATTATAGATCGGGGTGCAGTAAAAGCCATACAAGATGCTACTTCTCATCCACTAGAACATCAAAAATAAAAATAACAACAGCAAGTGTTGGCAGTGTTCCAGTGGAGAAACTGGAACTCATACACTGAGTTATTAAAATTTGACTAGATTTAGCCTTTTCCCTCTTATAAACCTCATTGTTACTTTACTTACCTCTGTGACCCAACGCTTGACTATATAACTTAAGGGAAGAAGATTTTATTTTTATGATGGAGGTATCAGTCCATCATAGCAGGCAGGAGCTTTGCTAGAACAGCCCATGTCATAGTACTCACTACCTACCAATAATGTAATCATATTATGAGCCCATGAAAGAATCAATCTGTTCATAGGTCAGAGACCCCATAATCTATACCTAGAAATCCTCATAGATACTCCAAGAAATATTCTTTTCTCATCTCATAGGTGTTTCCCAGTCTAACCAAAATAAACCATCACAAGCTGGGTGGCAGTGGCCCTTACCTGTAATCTTATAACTACTGAGGAGGTTGAGATCTAAGGATTACGGTTTGAAGCCAGGCAGAAAGTCCATGAGATTCTTATCTTCAATTAACCCCTCTCCCCCCCAAAAGAAGCTGGAAATGGAGCTGTGGCTCAAGTGGGAGAACACTAGTCTTGAGCAAATAAACCCAGGAAGGGTATTCAGGCCTTCAGTTCAAGCTCCAGTACTAATACCAATACCAAAAACAAAAACACCCCCAAAGATTAACCATTACAGAATCCATCTCTTTTTCAGAATTGAGCTCAAATAATAGTACCATATATTACATTTGGCCATTTTCCCATCAACCTTTTTCTCTCTTTTAATCTTCAACTGGAAAAGAAGGGATTACAGAAAGAAAATTCTGTGTTATTTTCTGAACACAGGAGGCAAAGTAGAATTTTGCTATATCATAGGTTCTTTCTTGTAAGATATAAAGTCCTTTGAATGACATCTATTCCACTATCTCTCAATACATTATCCCCATTCACACATTTGCAAGACCTTTACAAACAGTAGAGATGCTAAAAACAAGAGTAAACAAACTCAACCCAACACAAAAACTCTCATGTTGCCAGGCACCAGAGCTGCACACCTATGATCCTAACTACTCAGGAGGCTGAGATCTGATGATTGTAGTTTGAAGCCAGCCTGGGCAAGAAAATCTGTGAAGCTCCAATTAACCATCAAAAAGCCAGATGAAGCTATGGTTCAAGTGGTAGAGCGCTAGCCTTGAGCAAAGAAGCTCAGGAATAGCACCCAGGTCCTGAGTTGAAGCCCCTGGACTACACAAAACCAAAAAACAGAAAAAAAACTAGCATGCTATAAGATGTGTGTAATTAGGTAATTAAAATGATGGGGAAAGATCTGGAAATACGGTGTAATATAATCACAGACTACAGCTGGAAGTTGGTAGTTACCACCTATAATCCTAGCTACTCAGAAGGCTGAGATCTGAGTATCTTGGTTCAAAACCAGCCTGGGGGCAGACAAATTCCAGAG